CTACCATATACATATTTGGATCATCTTTTCACTTCTTACCACTCTTGTTGATTCAAATAGCTGATCCTCATACTTATGGGACAGTTAATCCACTACCTTACCCAAACCTTCTTTCAAGCTTAAACGCTATCTTGAGAGTTGTGAGGCCTTTGTATATCATTTTTGATTTTGTCTTGGCAAAAAGTGTTAGGAATAAGGCTGCCAATAATAATCTCTCTTTTAGATATCAGCTTGCATTTTGAGCTTGATTCTAGGTTAGGAGTTTTGGGATAAAAGGGTAGAGTTAAGTGGTTTGAACTTCATGTTTATATATGCTTTAAAAGAAGAGGGAAAAGTTTGAAATGGTAGTATGGGGAAATAAGACTAAGTTGTGGTTAAGTGAAGGGAGATAAAATCTCTAAGTGTTTAGAAAGCATGGTGCAACATCATTAAGGCTTTGAAGGGTCCATCCAAAGAAGAAACAAGAAACAAGTCAAACCACCAAAGGTGAAGAAGGGTGCCAATGCAACGAAGAAGAGCAAGTCCCAACAAAAAGAAGCAGCCACACAAGCAAAAAGAAGAAGTTTCCCCAGCCATGAAGAAGGAGAAAGGGTAGAGTTTAGGAAAAGGGTAGACTTAGGGGTTCACTTTGGGGTTTAGAAGTTCATAGGATTCATTCTTGGGTAAAAGGGTAGAAGAGAGCTTTGAATTGCATGCATAAGTGTGAATTTACCTTTAGCATTTTTCCTAAGATATAATCATTTTCATTGAGTGATCCCTTATGTTTGAGAACCCATTGCGTGAATGAGATCATTTTAATCTCATAACCTTGCCCTTTGAACCAAATGTCTTCACTTGATTTGCATAAACATGATTCATGGTTTTGAACTTAAATGAATGTTAAAGAGTTTGTTGATTTGGGTATTTGTCTAAGTTGAGATTTGAGATCATTTTGAATCATGATGAGCATGGCTAAGTTCTTTAAAGTATAACTAATTGTGTTTGCATCCCACAACTAAGCACTTAAGCATTGGTTTCATCTCTTTACCTTTGCACTTTTGGATTTGAATGCCCACCTTCAAACCTCACTCTCTCATTTGTTCTTATTTTCTTGAGGACAAGCAAAAAGCAAGTGTGGGAGTGTTGATATCTCATACATTTACATCATTTAGGCTTGCATTTAGTTCATGTTTTGGTCCTCATTTGCATGTTTTCTTTCTCATTAGCCCCACTTTCTTCTCCTTTTAGACTTATGTTGCATTTAGGATGTAGTTTGCATTTTCTTTGCATAAAGGATGTTTTTAGGTGCTTATGGAGCTATGAGGAGCAAGGAGGAGCTTTGGGAATGAACCTGGAGGCTTGCTAAGCTTAGATGGAGCAAGAGGAACCAAGGCAGACGATCTCTGCAAGCCCTATCGGTCAGGGCACGAAGGCTATCGGTCAAGGAGTGGCCGATATAGGAGCTATCGAGCAGCCTCTCGGTCAAGATAACTGACCAATAGAAAACAAACGAGCCTATTCCGGTCACCCTATCGGTCATCTTCAGACCGATAGCAAGCCTATCGATCAGGCTATCGGTCACATGTAGACTGATAGGAACCAGCCCGAGATGCTTTTATTTACCATTCTGGCATTACTTTTAGGGCTTTTCTCTTTAAGTATAAATACTCTGTCTTAAGGGATTTTCGAGAGGTCTTGTCAATTTACTGTTCTTTAGTGGTTATTCTGAGTTTGTAAGACAAATTTCTTGCTTTACTTAATATAAGTTTGTATTTGCCTTTAATCTTTCCTTAATCTCTCTTTTAATCATGATTAGCATCTTTTTCCCTTGTGATTTAATGTTAAACATGTTCCTTAGTGAGTAGTTTGCTTAGGGTTCTTAGATGTGGTAGATTAGTGAAATTTGGGGATTGATTAAGGTTTGTTTAGTGCTTAATAACATGAGTTCCTCTCTATTAATCTATTCTTAAGCTATATTTGTCTTGATCTCATAAATCTAGAATTAGGCTTTCTCTTATGCCCACCACGTGTTTGATGAAATGCTGATCTTGTTTAATAAAGGATTTACTGGCCTTAGCTTAAGAGATTGGCTGTTTGAAGAGTATTTTGACATAAATGGAGTTGGTTTATAATGCTTGTTGAATGTTTTAGCACTAATGAGAGTTAGTTCTTGTTAAGATATTTAGCAAAGGGCTATTTGTCAAGAGATTGAACTTAGCTTGCTTGTTTGTGAATTTATGTCTAGGAACCAGCATTGCTAGCTTGTTTGCTTCATCAATGATGTTTGAAACAACCTTAGTTAGTCTTTGAATTCCCCAAAATCAATAACCACATCTAGGAACTTGTCTTCTCTTTATTTGAATTTCGAATTCTGTCATTTTCTTTGTTTATTTGCTCTGTTTTCTTCTTTGAACATTGCTAAACTGTTATTTCTTGAGTTCTATTTGGTATATGATCACTTTAGGTTGTTAGCTTGGTTGCTTTGAAACAAAAACCTTTATGTTTCACTTGACTTAGAGCTTTCTACTTGCAACTCTTCTGTTATTCAACTAAACCCCATTGGATTGATAAAAACCCTTATACTACAACTGATTAGTACAATGGGTGATTGACATAAGGGCAAAAACTCTTGTATTAGTGTGATGTAGTGTTGGCTAAGTAACTGGCCAAACGGCTCTCTTTACTTACCAAAACGAGTGATGATAGGGAAATGGATTGAGCTGACACCCACACGGTTGATGATAGGACCGTGATAAATCAGTATGAACTCAAGAACATTAGGGGAATCAACACAACTGTTTTAGAACTCGGCGGCTGCTTTCGTTGAAGAAAGTTCGTCTTTATTGATAATAAGGTTAAAAGTGTGTCTACAATGCTGCATGTGGGACTTTATTAATAGTCAATCAGCCTTGACCTTCTAGGGTCGAAAAAAAAAAAAAATGCAAGACCAAAAATACAATAAAAATAACAAAACATTACAAAGTTTATTGTAAAAGTTCTATAAAAAAACTAAAAATAAATCCCTTCAAAACAAAAAAGGAAAACACAAAATATAATGAAGTAAATGACAAATTCTTACTGTTGCGTCTTGATTGGTTTTGTGTCTGAATATGGTAAGTTTTTATCATCACGCTTGCTTAGACTTGGGCGTCTTGAAGTGGGGCGATGATGAGCAAATTTGGGCTGGGGCTGTCGTTGAGAAGGGGCCATTCATCTAAGCTGAGCTCTCCCTTGAACTTGGCTGGGCTTTGGTCGCCTTGGAATTTGCCTAAGTGTTGGCCCATTTGATCGTTATGTCCGGTCACGCGTACCGTAATGCTCTCGTATGTGGTACGTGGCTGGTAGGTAATGTGGTCGACCATGTATGAGGGTGGTCCGTGATGCTGTCGTACTATCTCGTCCCGTCCCGTTCCGTGTCCTCGTGTTGTGCCATCCCGTCCCATTCCGTGTCTTCATCTCGTCCCGTCATGCATAGCTGTTTGAGGAGAGTGTTGATATCATCTGTTTGTCTAAGGTTGAGGAGGTTCTCCATGGCCTTGTTGAATTCTTCCCTCATGGTCCTTGTGCCTGAACGTGTTCTTGGTGGTTCGTACATATTGAGTACCTTACCCGGGTGGAGGTCCTCATCAGTCGGCGGTGAAGGCGGCAGTGAAGACGGCGGTGGCAGATGACGGATTGCTCGACTAAGGTTCCTAAGTTCTATTTCTGAGTGTTCTGGGAATTGTGATGACAATTCCAAATCTCTAGCTTTCTTTATATAGAGAGAATCCCGGAAAAACCCTAATACCCATTCCATTTGGCTCTGAAACTCATGGATCTTTCATTTTCGTATTGGGTCTGGAACCGGATCGTTACAAGATGCATGCAAAATGCAATCCTAAGCTATATGCATGCTATGCATAAAATGTATGCAAAAGAGACACTTTTAGACTTAAAGGATAAAATGTAATACAAAACTTATACTACAGTAAAACGTCTATAAATTAATAATGTTGAGACTCTCTAATTTTATTAATTTATAAAGTTATTAATTAATAGATAACTTAATATTTTATTAATTTATAGAGATATTTTTAGTTTGAATTTTTAATATTCATAAAAAAATAAAATCAACATTTTCAACAATGTAAAATTCATTCAAAAAAATGTCATAATAATGAATTTAAAAGATAAATCAAACAATGCATACTATCATCTATCTATGAGCTATACTTCCCCCAAACGAATTAGTCTAGACATTTCCATAAATCTAGTATTTAGCCGGAGTTATTAAAAAAAAAATCATTAACTAATTTATAACAGAACCAAGTTGTAATGGCGAAAGGTAATTTTCCTTAGGATGGCATCTTCAACGGCGTCACGACTGATTCACCACGCTACATGTATAGTGGTGCACTGCGAACTACCTTCGATCTAATTATATACGGTGCTTAGTGAATTGTTCAAAATTGAGTATGTAACAATTTTATCCCAAATATTAAAAATAATCAGTAGATAATGGCTGACAACAAAATAGTAGATTAATATTTTCGAAATTAGTATAACTGTGTTAAATTTCTTATTTTTATACATATATCATTGGTGAGTGTAAAATAAATTATTATGGTTACGTGAGTACTTGTATTATACAACTTGTTGATTTAAAATACAACTACTTACTTACCACCAGATCAAGTGGACTAGTGGTTTAAGCACATATGTTAGTACTGTTGTGCTCCTATTTGGATTCTCCGTGGGAGGGATGTATAATACCAAAATGGTATTAACAAAGGCTGGTACCAGGTCTAGAGAGGGATTAAGGCTTACGCCCAAACCCTTCCTGATTATAAAAAAAAAAAAAATACTAGTACTTACACAACATTAATTTTGCAAAAAATATCGTTAGTTATGATTATTAGGGTTATCCAAAATTCAATACCTCATAATTTTTGAATAAATTTAGAATTACTAAACAGTCTCGCAAACCCGAGACATGTTCAGGGTGGGACTAGTTTCTGCTTATGGGTCTCACATACAAATTAGAATAAGGCGGCCGGTGAAGTTGAATGTTTTAAATCCCCTTTTTTATCTTGTTAAGAATAATAGATCATATAAAATCATATAATTTATAAGAAGCATAGCTAAACAATAGAATAATAACATGTAGATATAGGGCCAAACAATGCATAATCATAACGGGCCAACAAACATACATATATCAATCTCCTGAACAGAAGCATAGTATTTATAATAAATTAATCACCCGAATCATTGGAAACCTTTTAGCATTCACACGTCTCTGTCCCTTTTACATTCCGCTGGCATAACCGGGAACCTAGTCCGGTCGGTACAGTAGTTGTAGATGGTCCACTTCATGCGGACCCATTTGAGACGACGATATTGGTAGGCGTCAAGGTCACGGAACTCATTCTGGTCCCACCACATGCGGCCTTGAGTCGCACAGTACTTGGCCTCCACAGAAGCTTGGCAACCGTCGATGTGGAATCCTCTATAGGATGCTATGAAAGGTGCATTGGCCCAATTGGTTTTCTCTAAACCACCCCTTGTGGCCCAATCATCTGCGTTCCAAAGGCTCGAATACAGTTTCATCGGTTGGTTGAATGGGAAACGTACTCCAAGATCCTTAGCGTTCTTGAACACACGGATAGGTATGTTGTCAACAAAAAATCTGATAAAGAAGTCAAATTAACCGGTGTTAGTTAATCATACCGGTTTAAACACATGACTCTCAATTCAAAATTGGAAACCCCACATTTAGAAGACATGAAAAGGTTTGAGTAAGTGACGGGATTTTAGATCATAATCCCCTTTTTTATTAAATGGATTGTGGGCCTTATAATGTACTATAAATTAGTTCTATTTTTCCTTAATGTGTTATAAAAAATATTATAATAAAGTTTTCAATATAAAAAAAAACTAAAATTAGGCCCTTAAACTTTTGGACTCATGGCCATTGCCCACTTAAAAATTAAGGGCCCAATTGTTTTCTATATTATAAAATTTGTTAAAAACATATTCTTAAAAACAGTTATGAATATATAATTAATTTTTAGTACATAAAAAAGTTCATGATTTATTCAATTATTAATAAGACGTCATATCCTACTTATACAAAAAGGATTATACTTTAACTGTTTTCTTTGTTAACAAGACAACAACCATCTCAATTATATAAAATTACAAAGAATTTCAAGATCAGATCAATGTTTCAACAAAGGTTGAATGGTCTTGTATTTTTATGCATTAAAAAAAAAATTTTTAAAACTATAAATTTTGAAACAATTATCAATAATTTTGCATCAATAAAGTTACGAAAAAAAGATATATATGATTTCTTTTATTTTTCTACAAAGAATTAATATTCTTTTGTATTTTTATGTTTGACGAATTTTTTATGCAATTTATAGAAATGATGCACTTGAATGAAGTATTATATAAAAATTATTATACAAACTAGATGAGTACCCGCGCGATACGCATAATTTTTTTCACAATATAATTTATTAAAAAGTGTAGTTACAATTTATTTTATCGTATATTTAAATTATTTTTAAAGATGTTGTGTATTTGAATAAACATATAATATGTATTTACATATTATGTGGATATTAATTATATATGTGATAAATAGTTTATTTATAAGGAAATGTAAAATATGTTATACCTTGTATATATAAAGTATATTAAATTGATATACCGCAAATCAAAGAATTATTATATAATAAAAATTAATTAGAGAAACTCTTCAAGCACAACATAGGTAGAGATGATCTTTTTTAACAGGTCGTATTTGTTCACGGCGCTGATTGACACCATAGCAACGCCGTTATTTTATATATTTCTGAGCTTAAATAATTAATTGATAATTCTAATATATACAACTGCATTAAACATTTTATAAATAGATATATTAAGACTTTAATATCTTATTAATTTAGAAATTATTAATGGATCAAGTTTGAATAAAATAAATTATCAAATAATTAATAGTTTATAAATAATTTTTTTAAAAGTTTATTATAATATTGTATAAATTTTTCTTCAAAATTTTTTATGTTAAAAATATCAAATAGTTGTTATTTTTATATTTGTATAACTGTATTTATAATAATAACTTATCATATTAATTAGAAATAAAAAACACTCTTAAATAAGAAACATAATTTTTTTAATGATTTAAAAAAACTACCACAAAATAGATATTCAATAATTGTTTTGGATATTAAGTATATATTATTATTAAAATATGTATTTTTCATATTTTTAGTATTATGATTAATAATACAATAAATTTATGCATTAACTGTATTTTATATAATTTGTATCATTAAATTTTAAGAAATAACACATGTCATTTCCACAATAAACCAAAATGATAAAATGGCACTCATATAGAAAGAGTTGGTCAATTTTTATAGTATAAACTAGTTATATTTTTTTTTTTAAACAAACTAACAATTTATTTTATATTTTAAAAAGTCAGAAATTATAGTTTGGTTTATTTTAATTAATATAATTACTTTTTATTAATATAATATAAAAGATTCATATTTGATTATTTGTCCAAGGCTCAGACGGGCTAAGTGAGTCACTAACCTATCCATCCTATGGTAGCTCCCCTAGTTTGAACATTTGAAATTTTTAAAAAGCTGAACTTTTTTTGACCATTTGACTCAATTGTGTCTGAAAAATCTTACAAGACCCGACTACTTTTTATAAGATCAAGACAGGGTCATGCCCGAGATTAATTTATACTATTAAGAAAAATTATAATAATAATTTGAAGTTGCGACGGGATATGAAAAAGAAATAATAATTAGTAGTAGGACCATGTTAGACCTGACAACTTTTAACATATAATATATAAGTGTAATGTAAGTAATGAGGATATAGCGTGCATACACAATTTGGTAGAGATTCCAGAGGATGGAGTAAGTGTGATAACCCTTTGAAGGGTCGAACCAGAGATAGATCCGTTGTTCTCTGTTCCCGTTTCCACCTGTGAAAACATTCGTCTGCAGTATCGCTGGTTGTCCTGTTCTGTTCCCAAGAAATTCGAAGTCTATCTCATCATGCTCGTTGTTGGTCGACGACAGCTACACACATTAATATTCCCATTATTATCATTAGATTTGTATTAGTAACGACACTGTCACACTAGTACGAATCGCTAGGCTGGTGCATTTGTATTTCTGTTTAAATCTGAGATCTGTGTAGTATTAGTGAGACTTACATAGAAAGCTGTGACAACTCCGGCGGTGTCACCAGCCGGCAGCTTTATGTGCATACTAAAATGTCCGAACAAATATGACCCTTTAGATTGAAACCCTGTCCCTGTTTGCATTCATATAAACATACACAAGTAATATAGTGAGTATAGCTTTTTAGCAAAACAAAATTGCGTATGCTCTACTCTCATTTCAACTAAGTTGGTCCAACATTTGGGGAAACCTTGCGCAAAATTTAGAGATTGTTCCTTTTTCTCATGTTTTTTATTTTTTATTTTTTAACTAATGTGATAGATAATAAAAAAAAAATTGCTTAAAAAATTTGGGGTCCGAAGCTATGACTTCTTTTGCGTATGCTTCCAACCAAAAGTCTCTTAATAGTGAATGTACCAGTGTATTTGTCGAGGATGAGCTGTAGTTCAGAACCGCCATTGAGTTGCTTCTGGTGGTCAAATGCCCAAGTTGGGACGTAGTTACGGCCGAATGGCACATCGATGGCCTTCCGTGGAGGAATCGCCATCACCGTAGAAGAAGCCAAAAGGAACAGAGCCACGAGAGCCCAAGGAGATAAAGAAACAGCCATTGTGTTTGGATTAAGAGAGAGAGAGATGATGATGATGAATTATGATGGTGAGAGAAGCTAAAGGGGTGTGGGTGGCTTTATATAAGGACGACGTCTTTGTTGGGACGTTCTCTTCTTTATTACAATATATTTGAGTTTTTAAAATGCTAATTTTAATTTCAAGTTTCTCGGACCTTTCCTTTTTTTTTTTTGGTTTTTTCTAACATTGGAATATGGATACCATACGTACAGCTATATAACTTCACAATCAATTTCTTCTTTGAATGTGAAATATTATTATGCATTGTCGGGGTACAAAACTAGTGTTAGTGTTTCGAGTTGTGGTAGAGATTTTGCTTTCCCAAACTAAACCACTCTTTTATTGTCCCTCTCCTTTTCTTCTTACACATACATTTCAGCATTTCACTTGACTAGTTGCCTATAAATGTTAAAATCAAAGGGATTTTGTCTCAATAATCAGCTACGTATACCGTTATAACACTTGGAGATCGAATCCCCAAATACTAAGATTGCAACACTAAAAATACATAATTTAAACTAAGTAAATTATGTTTTGGGTTTTTGTTTTATCTAAAAATGTAAAGAAGTGAAAGTAGGAAAATAAAGGAAAAACATTGGATCATCGGTTCAATTATCATGAGAACGAGGTAACAATCAAACAATGACGTAGAAAATTAATTAATTATCATCCTAGAACATTGGATCATCGGTTTAATTATCATGAGAATGAGGTAACAATCAAACAATGTTGTAGAAAATTAATTTATCACCATCCTAGAATATGAATTTCACAATTTTGACTAATTCATTCTCATGACATTAATCACTTTACTAATTACTAAATCAAGATATATATATATATATATATACATATGGGATGTTAGGGGTTGATTATTGACTATTCTATCATTAGCTGGGATTTTACACACTTCGCTAATTAATTAAACCTCAACTACGCATATCATTATAACACTTGGAGATTGAATCCACAAAGACTAAGATTACAACACTAAAAATGCATAATTTCAACTAGGTAAATCATGTTTTGGGTTTTTGTTTTATCTAAAAAAAGGTAACAAAATGCAAGTAGAAAAATAAAGGAAACACATTGGATCATCAGTTCAACTATCATGAGAATGATGTAAGAATCAAACAATGATAAAGAAAATTAATTCATCACCATCCTAGAATTGAAAATTCAAAATTTTGACTAATTCATTCCCATAACATTAATCACTTTACTATTTATTAAATCAAGATCATATCTTCATTTGTGAATAGGTATTTAATGAGCATTAAGAAACAACTTCAATTAGTTCACTAAACACCTTACATTTCAACACTCATTGGCTAAGCATGTAAAGCTAATCTAGCATTAAGAGCAACCTAAATGATATGAGAATGAATTAGTCAAAATTGTGAAATTCATATTCTAGGATGATGATAAATTAATTTGATATGAGAGCAACCTAAATGATATGAGAATGAATTAGTCAAAATTGTGAAATTCATATTCTAACAAGATGCAACCTAAATCATAATCATCTAACCATCAATTCATCATAATCTAGAAGGATCCATGATTCAATTGAAAGCTAGTAGCTAAACATGAAGAAAAGCAAAATAAAAGACAAAAGTATAACGATAAAAGATAAATGTGAAAAATTCTTCATTAGAGTGATATGACAGATGAAGATCAATCCAAATTATCCATAAAAAGAGAGACTGGATCTAGAGAGAAGAAAACTTAGATGCAGTTTCTCTTTGATGCAGTCTCTCTTTGATCTTCTCTGGTATAGCTGTAAAATGGTGCATTCATGATCCTGTCTCCTTACAAGGAACAACAGTAATGAACACATTCAAGAACATGTCTCCTCACAAGGAACACAAATATTGAGTAGCACCATATCTTTGACTGTAAAAAAAAATGAGAAAAGAAGTTGAAAAATCGAAAATATCCAAAGGAAAAGATCAAGGGAAGAGAAAATAGGAGAGCTGTGTTGAGATTGCTTTGTTCAGTTGTTTAGGAAGGGAAAAGAATCTATAAGTGATTGAGATGATAAAACTTTAATGAGATATCACACTTAGATAAAAATAAGGAGTTAGCAGTAGAGATTTCGAATTTCTTGAAGTGGCTTGAACTGAATTTGAGAGATTTGCTAAGCTTGTGATGATTAGAGTAAAATATGATCCTGTGTTGGATCAGTGATATTTGGATTCGAAAGTGTTGATCAAAATTATCCTGACTTAGCGCCTTCAGCTTTCTGACTTTAGATCAATCATTCAAAATCGCCTGCTGACATTCGTTTAGTTATTTCGCATTACATTCATTGTTTACTGCTTAGCTTAATGTGAATCTAAAATCTATTATGTAGTAGCTTACTCCTTTGGGATGCGATAACCGTTTGTGCTATATCTGCATTGCTGTGTACTTGCAGTAGTAAAATAATTGAGTAAAACTTAGAACCTATCATATATACAAATGATTGGGTAAAGTCAAAAATTGATGCAAACAAGACCATTATATACAAATGCTCACATGAAACAAGACAAAGACAGTACTAAATGAATGCTAAAATGATGGAAACAATGTAGCTAAAATGATGCAAATAATGGAGCTATAAACTCTCACAAACTTGTTTTTTTGCTTGCCCTCAAGCAAACAAATGAAAACAAGATGCATAAGAGGTTTGAAAGTAGGAGCTCAAATTCAAAGATATCAACAAAGAAAACTAAATCAATGTCCAAGTTTTCAGTTCTAGGATTCACTTGAACTCATTTTACTCAAAAATATTTAGCCGTACTCATTGTGGGAACTGGGATCCACACAATATTATTTGTTTACAAGATATAAAAGAGGATGTAAAGTTTCTAAGTAAAACGCGAGAGAGCGAAAATCCAAAGATGGTGATTTTATTATTACGGCTCAGATAAGCATTTGGTACAAGTATTCTGCTAAGTCTTTTGCTAGGTAAAAAGATGTGTCGCACAAATAGGCTAAGCTCCCTATTTATAAAAGTCCTAGTGGTAACTTAAACGAAAATCTTGGAGTATATTGCATAGATCTTCCTTCCTTATCTCTTTTGCGGCGCCCCCTTCCACAAGGCTTCGTCTTCTAGGGTGAACATCACTTCGGACCTCTTTATTAATTAGGCTTGGCCTATCCCCACGACGCTTCGCCTTGGACTTGACTTGGGGCTTCGCCTTATTGCTTCGTGGGCCTTCGCCTCGGGCTTGGATTGAAACTTGGTTCGCCTCGTGCACGATTTGGCCGAAGTGATCGGTTTGCCCATAAGTACAAAATATGCATGGTTTACCTCGCCCGTGCATGGTTTGGGTGACGTAACCGGTTCGTCCACGAGTTGTGCACAGTTCACCTCGCTCGTGCACGGTTTGGGCAAGGTAACCGGTTCGCTCACGAGTTATGCATGGTTCACCTCGCTCATGCACAGTTTGGGCAAGGCAACCGGTTCACCCACGAGTTATGCATGGTTTGCCTCGCCCGTGCATGGTTTGGGAGAGGCAACCGGTTCGCCTACGTGTACAAGTTGTGCACGGTTCACCTCGCCCGTGCATGGTTTGGGCGAGGTGGCCGGTACGAATCGCCCCATGCACATCTCAGGCATTACTAAGGATTGCTTCCATACTTAGTTGTTTTCCCATTGATTACGCCAAGGTGAAAACCGATCCCAACAGTTAGCCCTCCAGCTCGTTTGACTCAGGGGTATGGATGACGAGGTGTTAAGAGAGACGAGATCAATGGTCAATGAATATCAGTTCGCCAAGGCGAGGTGTTCTGCTTCGCCTGGTGAGGTGTTTTGCTTTGCCTGGGCGAGGTATTTTGCTTTGCCTGGGCGAGGTATTTCGCTTCGCTTGGCGAGGTGCTCTGCCTGGGCGAGGTGTTTCGCTTCGCCTGGCGAGGTGTTTTTTTTGCCAGGCAAGATAGTCCTTAGCTAGGGCGAGGCGTTCAACCTCTACCTGGACAAGGTGCTTGCTCTACCAGAGAGGAAACTTCATCGAGGCGAGGCGACCCTTTATTCAGACGAGGCGAGCTGATCATTGTCTGTGCGAAGTGTTTTCTTGAATAGGCGAGGTTACCCTTTAGCTAGGCGAGGTGGTGTGACTCTTTCCTTGGCGAGGCGCATCTCTTCTATCAGATCAAGGAGTTTGCTTCGCTAAGAGGACATGTGTTGCTTGCCTACAACGAGGAGCTTTGCTTAGCCGAGGCGAGGTGCTTTGCCTCGCTAGGCGATGTGTTTCGCCTCGCTGTTACTTCGCTAAAATGTATTGCTTTCGCCTCGCCATTGCTTCTTTAATACTTAGGATTTTTCAGCATACCATCTTATAGGCTTTTAAAAGGGCATTTGTTTATGATCCTTTTGGGCTTTAAAAGCCCATTTAGAGTTGTGTCCACCTTGATGATTGTAACCGTCTTGCGTACTCCTGAGGCGACACGCCAAATTGGCTATAAGTACCAATGCCTCCCGTCATTTTTTTCATTATCTACAATCTCTAGAAGTTTTTTGAAGGTTCGTTCTCTTTCTTCTTTTTTGTTTTTGTTTAAATTCTGATTAGGTTTATTCCGATTTTGGCCATTCCGCCGCCGTCCTCCTTAATGTCCCCAGTCCGTCTTTGATTTTTCTCCAAAAATTTATGGCATCTTCTATATCTCCCGAGGCCGAGGAAAACTCTCGGGGCGATGGGGTTACTCCAACTTTGACGTCTAGTCCAAGGGCAAAGTGGATTACGCTCCGACATCTCTTCAGGGCGAGATGATTTTCAGTCGATGCCTCGTCGGTCTCTCGAAGGCGAGGAAGAAAACCAAGTGACAGAAATTCGTAGAGGCGAGGCGAATTCCAATCTCGATGATTCCATCAGTTCGACGAATTTTCTGACACATTGCGGGCGTAAGATGGTACGGTCTTCGAGTGATAGAGTAGGTGATGCGTCCGATGCAGACTTTGATACCGTTCCGACTCCGGTCGTTGAGGCGAATAACCCATGCCCCATGATCGAAGTCATTTTTACCGCAGTTGAGCCGAGAGAGATAAAACTTGAGGAAGATGATTGGAATTTTGACCATTTTGCGGCGAGGAGAAGCTTGACGAGCTGATGAAACTTCAACAGAAAAGTCAGGCGAAGATA